ACATCCTTATAGTCCTCCCTAGTGGCCTGCCCACTTTTCCAAAGATTATAAACCCTCTTTTTTCTCCTAAGCTCAAGCCACAGTTCTCTGTTGAGCCAGGCTGGTCTTCTTCCCCGCTGGCTCATCTTTGGGCACGTGGGGACAGACCGCTCCTGCGCCATTAGGATTTGCCTCTTGAAGAGCGCCCAGCCTTCCTGGACCCCTCTGCCCTTCAGTACTGCCTCCCAAGGGATTCCACCAACTAGTGTCCTGAGCAGCCCAAAGTCAGCCCTCCGAAAGTCCAATACAGCGGTTTTACTGGTCCCCTTCCTGGCCTCACCAAAAATAGTGAACTCCACCATTTTGTGGTCACTCTGCCCAAGACAGCTCCCGACAATCACATCCTCCACCAGTCCTTCTCTGTTTGTGAAGAGAAGGTCTAGCAGGGCACCACCCCTGGTAGGTTCACTAACCAGCTGCGTCAGGAAGCTATCTTCCACTTTCTCCAGAAACCTCCTAGACTGCTTTCTCTGGGCTGTGTTGTGCTTCCAGGATATGTCAGGGAAGTTGAAGTCCCCCATGAGTACAAGCGCTGAAGATTTCGCAACTTCTGTCAGCTGCCTGTAGAACTCCTCATCCGTCTCCTCATCCTGGTTCGGCGGTCTATAGCAGACCCCGACCAGGACACTAGCCTTGTTGTCCCTGCCGATCCTAACCCAAAGGGACTCGATCTTGTCATTCCTAGCCTCGAGTTCTACAATATCGAAAGACTCTAATATAGAGAGCCACACCGCCACCCCTTCTGTGCTGCCTGTCCCTTTTGAAGAGCTTATAGCCAGGCATAGCAGCACTCCAGTCATGAGACTGGTCCCACCACGTTTCCGTGATGGCAACCAAGTCGTAGCCTGCCCGCTGCACGATGGCTTCCAGCTCCTCCTGTTTGTTACCCATGCTGCGTGCATTGGTGTAGATGCACTTCAGCTGGGCCATTACCTTATGTACATTACCTTACATGTACTCATCTCTAAAAGAAAATCTTATGCCTGTTTTGACTTATATAAGTAATGGCCACATCTGTATATAGGAGTAGCTCAGTGTTATGTGAACAGTTTTTCTGTTGTGCTAGATGTAATAGCTTCCTAAGTAAGGACATCAGATGTGATATGTAGTCAGCTAATTTCACTGGTGAAATAAATTTGATGAATAACATGTTTTCTCTCCACAGACCTTAGGAGTGTCTGTTTATTCCACCAACTCTATGCAAAAATCAGAATTGCTCTATTTATACTATCCTCCAAATTTTAGCATATAGTGGATATTCCCCTTCCATCCTTGCTGTGAGGCAGAATAAATGACAACTCCCCCTACACCCTCTCCATGATTTTGCTATGCAGTATAATTTTGAGAGGTTAGAGGGGAGAAGCTTTACCTGCTGCTGTCAAACAGGAGAACTGGGGAGTGTGCAGATACAAAGAAAATACAGGAATTCAAAGTGACTGATTTAAAACATTCTTCTTCTTCAAAAAAGAAAGATCTGACTTGATCGTTGGGAATGACAGTGTGAGTTTCTTATTTTTTTGCTGAAAGAACTACACACATCAAGGGAGAGCAATACCCACTTGAGAATTCTTGTATAGATAGATCTTTGAAGAAGGAGCTTCTGGCATACGTTCTAAAATTACCAGGGGATGGACAGGTAATCTTTCACAGGAAGAGGAAAGAGGAGTTATAAGCAGAAAAAAAACAGGTAGTTTGAAGAACAACAAAAAAAAAAAAAAATAAAAATCAAGACAAGAACACCGCCACCACAAACCAAAGAACAACAACAATAGAGCCTGCCCACATTTTTAAAAAGGTTCAATCTATTCAATTCTTATTGGCAAGATTGCTGAAAATGTTTGTACATCTCTGCAGATGGACTCCTGAAGAATTAGATGCTCACGTTGGATAAAGAGACAAGTTTTCAGCCTCTCTAGGGCTGAAACACTCTGACACACAAAGTAAGGCTGGATAATTTCTCAGTACTACAAACACAAGAATACTTCAATTTATCAAAACACTTATGTCTAGAAAAAGCAAGTAAAACATAGTGAATTTCTGCCATATTCGACTTAAAGCATGTGCTGATAGTTATAACTGAATCAGGATCCAACTTCAGACTTAAAATGCTTTCTTATTTCTCCCACCCTGAGTGACATGATATAATTTGAACCTTATGACTTTCACTAATATAGAAGAGAATAAATAACTGTGAAAAAGTGTTGTTTACATAAGGAACACATTAGAAATTTGAAATTTAGAGCTCTAAATAAATATAAAAGCTTCAACAGAAAAATAAAATCTACTCTGCTTGACCTACAGGATACACAATCAAGCAAGACTCCAGGGATTCTCCCAGCTCTTGCTGTGTCTTTTTGAAGAAATCACATCGTTTCTCTTGGCTTTTACTTCCCCCCTAAACTTTGTTGGTCTTGTCTAGTTGGCCTGTAAAGATCGTCAGGTCAGGGCTTGTTTCTTAATATACCAAGCACAATCTCTATCGGCTTTTCTGGGCAGTCTGGTACAAATTAATGAATACCTGCAGTATAGTTGAAAACTAACAAATAACTGTAATAGATTTATCTTTATTTCTTACAAGCATAATGCCTATAGGAGTTCAGACCAAAGCTCAATGTAGAGTTCAAGTGATCTGTCCCACTGCCAAAAGCAATTGTCCAGGAGAAGGTATAAGCACAGGGCATGTATGCAGTCCTATTTCTGTAAATGCTCTCTTCCCAACTCAGCTTTGTGGCTCATTGACTTTTCAAGCCAGCAGCGCTGATACTAGTGTCTTTCTTTAGATATCATACTGCCAGCTAAAGAATCCAGGTAAGGAGGACCTCTTGCAGGAATTCAGGTCACTAGAATAATAGAATTACAAGTTGGAAAAGACCTCCAAGATCTGGTCCATCACCCTGCTGCCAATATCACCCACTAAACCATGTCCCTAAGCACCACATCCAACCACTCCTTAAACACTCTCAGGGATGCTGACTCCACCCCTTCCCCAAGGGACTCATTCCAATGCCTGACTACTCTTTCTGAGAAGAAATGTCTCAGAATTTCCAACCTAAACCTCCCCTGGCATAACTTGAGGCCATTCCCTCCAGTCTAGCTGATTATCTGTGAGAAGAGGCTGACGCCCAGCTCCCCACACCTCCCTTTCAGGTAGTTGTAGAGAGCAACGAGGTTTCCCCGAGCCTCCTCTTCCCCAGACCAAACACCCCCAGTCCCCTCAGCAGCTCCTCACAGGACTTGTGCTCCAGGCACTTCACCAGCTTCGTAGCCCTTCTCTGAACATGTTCCAGGGCCTCAATGTCCTTCTTGTACTGAGGGGCCCAAAACTGAATACTCAAGGTGTGGCCTCACCAGAACAGAATACAAGGGGACAATCACCTTGCTCATCCTGCTGGATACACTATGCCTGATACAAGCTAGTGCAAGAGATGGGTTAACTAATTAACACTTAATATTTTACAGTGATGCAGGTGACTGCAGTTTATTTCCTGAGGAAATCATACAATGAATAATAAATGTACACACTGAATGCTTTTACCTATGGAAAGAAATATTTTTGCAGGATCTGGGAGTGGTATGGAATTACTACCAGAACTCTTAAACCCATGAGAGGATATTATATACTGCTTTTCTATTAGGAGCTCCGTGTCAGTGCTGGTGACTTCCTGGTATACCAGACTTGTATGTAAACTGCTTTCTTGTTACTTTATGTCTTCCCTATAATCCTTTCATTCTAAATAAATAGGATTTTGCTTTATGGAAGGTGGTTAACCTTTTGCTGAACTAAAAATCAGACATGCAGTTAATTACCAGAATCTGCAATCTAAACATTTTATATAGAGAAAATTGAAGCACAAAGAAATGAGTTTGTCCAAAACAGAAAATCTAATCAGACTTTGGCAGAGTTCAAAACAACATTAAATCTCTTATTGTAATTGCAAAATGTATTCCAGCAAAAACTGAGCATCAAACAGTAAAAGGAAATAGAAAAGGTATTAAGTAGCATACATACAGTACAGCATTTGGGATGCTGTATTTTAAAAACATCATCAAGCCATTAATACACTTCACAACAAATAAATAAATAAATAAATTGCCAGTCTGATAAGTCAAATATATGGCAGATATAGAAAAAACAACTCCTAGGTGTTTTGGAAAGGGGGACATGAACTTGTCTGAGAAACGTGCACAGTGTGTACATGTATTATATGAATAATGAAAGTGCTACTATCATAGAGTGCATTGCTAAACACTGTGCATGAAGAAACTCCTGTCCTCCCAAACATCAGAAAGATGATCAGAAGCATTCTCCTCTGCACTTCCATCATTTCTTTTTGGGTATTGACTACCTCATCAAGACCAATAAAACGATGACCAGACTCCACGCCAGTTGCGTTTATATGAGCATGTTTCGGCATCAAGTTGATTGTACCCCAAAAGATCAGGCAGATGCCTGGTTAATCATTCTCAATTTACAAGAGCAAATATTTATGTGCATATCCAACCGAGGCACCCAATTTGGTTAAACCTCTGCCAAGACACAGAACTGATTTGGATATAGATCATCCAGATGTCATAATGCTGTTTCTTCACTTGGAGACACTGCAGTATTACCAAGAAAACAATGAAATTCTCTCAGATATTGTCACAAATGTAGCATTACCCACTTGCCACTGTGTCCAGACAGCCTGCTTGCAAGTTGAGAACGTATGCAGAAATGGTACTCTAAAGGCCAATAGAAAACTTCAAAATTTACTGGGGAAAGACCTTTGACATTTAAAATGTTCATAACTCACACCAGCTTTACCTGCTTTTACTGGGCTTTGGTTCTGCAAACTATTCAGTGTGAAATACACACTCTTTTAGGAGACTCTCTAGTGCTTTAGCCCTGTTTCACTTGCAAAAAATGAATCCCCAAAATATATTCAGAATTGTACTGCCAGGCACAGTGATTCTTAACTTACATTGCCACTGCTCAGACTCCTCCCTTGCTTGAATTATCCATCAGCGTCTTTCTCCATTCATGGCATCAGCACCAATGAAGTCTCCTCAGTCTCACACCTATGGGGAGAAGAGATATGAAGTAGTTAGTTGCAAGACTGGAGGAACACACTCTCCAGAGTCCATATCTCTACAGGAGCTGTTCACTGAAACCAATTTAAAGTTCTCTTTAATTGATTCAGCATTGTGCCCTTTACAGAGCAGTGAGCTAGGAACAATGCCAGCTGTTGATTAACTGTCAGTTCAACCTACTCTCCCCATTCACCCATGCAAAGGTACCCACCTGCAACTAACAGCCCCATACAGAAAAAGAAAGGAAAAAAAAAAACAAACAAAAAAAACCTTCTGAAGCTATGAAAATGTATGAGAGAAAATCTCTCTCTCTGAAGAATGTCCATGTCAGACAGTACTCACTAGATCTGCCAACAGAAACAATTTTGTACCAGGCTGCTGGGACAGCTGTGAACAAATTGGTGACTGACTATAGTAAAGTTGTGGGCTTTTTGGCACTCCTAGGACAAATAGTAAATAGTACTTTGTGACTCTGAAGACAGCTTTTTTCTTGGAATCTTGTGTTAGCACATGGGATTTTACAGATAAATAAATACAGACAACAGTTTAATTGCCTTTACACTATCGATTTCCAGAGAGGTTAAGGTAAGTATGAGTGCCATTGCAGTCAAAAGACATTGAGAAGCAGCCCATAAAACATCTAAGACACTTAGATCAAAAATCTCTATTCTTAGTTGTGTTTTGTTTTTTAAATGAAGTTTATTTTTAACACATTTTTGGAGACATTAATTCTCTTGAAAAACAAATATATACAATTAAAAGCAAACAAACAAACAAAGTGCATCTGTTTCTCTTCAGATAAGCAAAACAAAAGTTTTGAGAGCCTATCTACCCCATAGCCCTAGCTCAGAGGTCACTCTTTGTTTCCAGTCGTGCCATGGAAGCCCTCTAGATGTTGAAGAAGATCCTTCCCCCGTCTCATCCTTTCAGAGATTTCCCCAATACAGAATATGACGCAGGACCCACAGGGAACATGCGCCTTTCTGAAGTGGCAGCTGGGGCCAGCCAGCTCATGTTCAGGCAAGCGGTGACCAACATGACCAGATCTTCTTCCTCTGCACAGCATTCAAGCCACTCTCCCCCAGGCCTGTAGCGCTGCACGGGGTTGTTGTGGCCAAAGTGCAGGACCCAACACTTATCCATGTTGAACCTCATCCCATTGGCCCCTGCCCATCAACCCATCCTGTCCAGGTCCCTCTGCAGGGCCTTCCTACCCTCCTGCAGAGGGACACTTCCCCCCAACTTGGTGTTGTCTGCAAACTTACTGAGGGTGCACTCAATTCCTTCATCCAAATCAAAGATATTAAAGAGGATGGGCCTCAACACTGACCCCTGAGGAACACCACTGGTGACCAGTCGCCAGCTGGATTTCACTCCATTCACCACCACTCTCTGGGCCCAGCCATCCAGACAGTTTTTAACCCAGCAAAGAGTGTACCTGTCCAAGCCATGGGCTGCCAGCTTCTCCAGGAGAATTCTATGGGAGACTGTGTCAAAAGCCTTGTTAAAGTCTAAGTAGACTACATCAACAGCCTTTCCTTCATCTACCAAGCGGGTTACCAAGTTGTAGAAGGAGATGAGATTGGTCAGGCAGGACTTGCCTTTCACAAACCCATGCTGACTGGGCCTGATCCCCTGGTTGTCCCGCATATGCTGTGTGACTGTATTCAAGACGACCTGTTCCATCACCTTTCCTTGCATCAAGGTTAGGCTGACAGGCCTGTAGTTCCCTGTTTCCTCCTTACAACCCTTCCTATAGATGGGTGTCCAGTCATCTGGGTCCTCTCGATGACCGTGACCACTGATAGCTTACAGAAAACAGCCCCAGCAATCACATCTGCCAACTCCCTCAGCATGCTTGGGTGGCTCCCATCTGGCCCCATGGACTTGTGACAGTCCATGTGGAGCAGCAGGTCTCTAATTGTCTCCACTTGAACTGTGGGGGGGTTATTCTGCTCCCTGTCCCAGACTTCCAGGCTGGGAGGCTGAGTGCACCGAGGATAAGTGGTCTGGCTAGCAAAGGCAGCATTATTTATTTATTTAACAGAATATCACAAAAACACAATAATACTACTGCCCCAGTCACTCAGACTTTGAAATTTACATCTATAGGATCTACTATATCAATGTGGACCATAAAAAAAAAAAACGATATCAAAAAGAGAACATTAAATACTAAGCACTGACATTCCTCTGAGATGTATCACAGTGGAAGAAAAACTATGACGGTTATCATAGTTGAGAGCCTCATGCAGTTCTGAGCTTCCCTAGTGAAATTCAAACCTGCAATAAATACACCTCTTTCTTTACAATGTGTCAAATTTTCTTGCGCTATTTTAAAGACATTTGTAGTATGAACAACAAAAACAAAGGAATAAAAGTATATAAATGGATATATTCTGTTCACACCATACTAGAAATCCTCAATTGCTTAATGATATTATTGGCAGATGTTAGCCATGAAATACTGCTTAGCTATTTCTTTCTCAAGTTTTATAATAATTCAGCTCAAATACTATTATTCCAGTTTAGTGCTGCTGTAAACTTTAAAAACAAGCAAACAAAAAAAAACAACCAAGAAAAAAAAAAAAAAACAGAAAATCAAGTTGGTGACTTGACAAAAAGAAATATATATATATATATATATATAATAATAATCGAAGAGATACACAGAGACACACACAAAAAGAAGCAAACCAAAGGAAAAACAAACAACCAAAAAAAAAAAGCAAACCAGAATTTGGCATTTATCTATTTACATTAGAAATGATTCATCTAGATTTCACTAGTTGGGCACTTGATTTTGCAAAGGCTTGGTCCAAACCAAATAGGGGCAGTATCTGTCCCTCTGTTGTGGACCAGATGCTGTCAGCAATCTGTGAGGGCAGCAGAACTGAAGCAATGTCCTCCCTTTGGGACCATCTTACCGAAGAGTCCCATTATATTAATAATATGATTGCTAATGGCACACTGGGCATTCAGCCACTTTGCTTTGCAGACACAGCTGATGACTGATCATTGGGAGGAGGGATGGCTCCTGTGCCATCTTCCCTCTTGTGAATTGTCTGGCGACCGTTGCAAAACTTACATCTACAGCCTGATGCTGGCACAGGTCTGAAAACCATCTCTTGATGAGCAGTGATGGAAGATTTCCTGACAAACTCTTCCCATCCTTCTGAGAAGCATGGCTCCAAAATATTATATCACGTCATGTCACAGCACTGACAGCCTTCAGACTCTGTGGATTCTTAATATTTACAAAATGCAGAAAAGTGGAGAAGACTGACTATTCCAACATAATTCTTTACAGACCAATAACTGGTCAGGCTGGCAACAACCTATGATTGTCACCATCTGACAGCTGTTTGATGGCTTGCAGAAAGTAATGTGGCCTGTTCTCAGTGTGCAATAGGCCAGGTGTCCACATGGTTAACAATCTCCATGGCCCAGCTGTTACTAAGAGAAGCCACATATGTCCACGGACCAGCTGGGGAGTGAAGAGCACGCAGCCAGCCAGAGGATGGTGTGTGGAATCATTAAGCTGTGCGTGGTGGGAGCAGGACAAATCCATCTCCAGGGTTCCCCCTCCTGACCTCTGCATTGCTGCACAAGCCATTTAAAAAGTGACAAAGACAATAATCTTCTTTAAAATATTATAATACTAGATTTGAATCTTGCCATGGGTTGAAAAAAGGCTGTGAAATCTTCACCTTCATGAGTCTTGTGCTATCTAGTGCAATTTAGCATATTCATCTCTCCATTGACCTATCAATGGCATCCTATGCAACTATCCTATAAAATAGGATAGCAGAATCTGCAGTTTTGAACATAAAGCAAATACATGGTTTTCTTTGGAACAGCTTAATCATTTTTCTCCCTCTAGTTCTATGAGCTTTTCTGATTTTGCTCCCCTCAGCAAGTTTGCAGTGGAGGGGGGCACTAAACTGCATGACCTGACAGAATTAGCTACTGCACAATTCCAAATGTAAACTCTGTTCTCTCTGCGGAGCGATCAAAGACACTTTCTTTTTCATCAAAACTGAACATGTTAACTAAACCACCATGACAAATTCTGTACTATTGCAGTCAAATCTAAATGGTTGTTCAGTGATGCACAACCACCTCTTGATATCTTCTTTTAAATTCTAGCCTGCTTTGTCTCTCAAACCACAACCAGTTACAATTATATTTTTAATTCCTTCCACATCCCTTCCAACCACCTGTGGTCAAAGCCTGTTTCTCATGCAGTCAGTTCATACTCGGTACTTGCCGACGTGGAGATGACCTGAAGTAAATGGGTAACACAACCCATCTGCTACCCAATTCTCCTACTGAACAAGCTTTAGGAGGGGTTTAAGAGCTTAGGTTTGTTGGCAATTGGGATCTGCCTTAAAGCATATAGAAATAAAACATAAGTGAGAATCATTTTATGGTCTAATTTTAGGCATGACTGGCCTAGATTTTCTGACTCAGCACTTCAGTTGGCTTGAGCTTAGTTAGAATACCTCAGCACTTCTCAGTCAGGAACAAATTTACTAATGTAACAGAAACAAGTCCATAATTCAGCCCAGCAGTGCTCTTTGACAGAAGTCTGACATTGGATTAACCAAATTGAACTGATGTAGAGAAAAGACAGAAAAATGGCAAAGGTGACTCTAGCAAAGCATCTGTCCACCCTGTGGATTAAGTGAGCCACTCTGGGAAAAATGAGAACTACCTTTAATTACCTTTAACTCAGACAAAGTCATTTTTTGAAGTGCCCTTTTGATTCCAGTTGTAACCTATTCAGATCCTTCCAGTGTTTCAAGTGCCCAAGAAAATGATGTTTGTTATGTGTTTTACTAAATGTTCAACCTCTTTCTTTTCTTATGGCTATCTAAATAAATATCTATATATAATCAATGTCTATACACACTGTTTTTCCAGCAATTTACATATGTAACTTGACATTTCCCAGTTTACAGAGAAACTTGAACAAAAAAAGGACT